GCACATGCCAGTATAGAGACGCTCTCTTGCGTAAATACTTTTCCGTTAAAAGTATTTGCGCAAAATCATGCCAGTGTAGACGCAGCCTCTGACTTTCATACCTCTCTGCTCCTGCACTTTAGGCTTTCTGAGCACTCTGCCCTTCTTCATCTCCTTTCTCCTCACGGCTTCTTTCCATTTTCTCTTGCCCTTCCCTTTTCCTTTCCTGCATTCACTTTCGTGAACATTCAGCTCTCCCCTGCTACTCCCTCAGCCCTGTCTCTAGCCCGCTGAATGGAAACAAAAAGAAGTGGTACTATTGCACAGCAGGGATCTCTGCAGGGACCCCAAACCAACAAGATGCAAACATCGCCTGAACATGCCACTGTTACCCCATCCTCCATTTTACTCTCCTCGGTCCAATTCTTTTTAATCATCAGGATAAGAATGATGATTGGCTCAAACCTTATCTCTTAAGTAAGAGCATGCTGTACTTTAGGGTCTGTATACATAACCCACGTTTCATACTAGTCTCTTCTTTGTGAAACCCTTCACCTGCACACAGGTGGGATGCTGTACTAATATGCTGTGAGGAGCTAAGTGCTCTGAAGGTTGTAGAGCCAGGCCACGAGTATACTCAATGGCTGCGTCTAGACTGGCATGATTTTCCACAAATGCTTTTAACGGAAAAGTTTTTCCGTTAAAAGCATTTGTGGAAAATCATGCCAGTCTAGACGCAGCCATTGAGTATACTCGTGGCCTGGCTCTACAACCTTCAGAGCACTTAGCTCCTCACAGCATATTAGTACAGCATCCCACCTGTGTGCAGGTGAAGGGTTTCACAAAGAAGAGACTAGTATGAAACGTGGGTTATGTATACAGACCCTAAAGTACAGCATGCTCTTACTTAAGAGATAAGGTTTGAGCCAATCATCATTCTTATCCTGATGATTAAAAAGAATTGGACCGAGGAGAGTAAAATGGAGGATGGGGTAACAGTGGCATGTTCAGGCGATGTTTGCATCTTGTTGGTTTGGGGTCCCTGCAGAGATCCCTGCTGTGCAATAGTACCACTTCTTGTTAATGATGCTGTTAGTGCTCATCACCTATAATCAGATACCCTCTCCAAGATGATTACTCTCTAGAACACTCATGTAGGTAATGTAGAGATGGATAATCTATAACATGTCTTATCATACTGGCAATTCATCTTTTCTGGGCATGAAGCAGAAACCCCATCCCGAGGCTGTAATGATATAAATAGACAACACGTGAGGAGTGCAGATACAGATTTCTAAGCCACTGCCTTGTTTATCATACTTTGTTTTGTACAATGGACTAGATTATCTAATACTATCCTATTGAGACATCCTCCAGTGCTTTGCTTTACCACATCTGAGGGAAAAAATTGTATTCTTGTTAATAATTGATTAACTTGCTTAAGAGGAGGCTTGGATTTTCATATGAATAATACCGGGCTTTTTCTGTTTGTATTCAGGAAAGCATATGGCTTGGTTGGTAAAAACTGTTCTGTTTACACAGTGAGGTTATGGATGTGACCCCCGTTCTCCAGTATAAGCAGAGCTGACTAATGCAGATTATTAACATGCCTTTGGACTATTTTTAATCCTACTGCCCTCATGATCACTCTCAATCTAGAAACTGTCAGAACTTAGGCATCAAGACAGTATGCAAATCAGAAAGGTGCAGAGACAGATTTTTAAAGCACTCTGCTCAGTCAGGAATAACAAAAACCCAGGGTTTCTTTCTTCGTTGTTGCAGTCATGTGTTGTAGCTTTCCATTGCTCGGGTTTGGTAGGCAGAAGGCATATATAAACACAGGAATCCTGCTAGGTTATGTAACTATTGTCAGCCATGAAGGTGGGGGAGAGGGGGGAACCACTTGTGGGGTTTACAGTGTGATCCACTGAAGCTGTTGTATGTATTAAATAAGCAGCTTGATTAAGGATTACTTAGGCCAAAGCTCTCAGACTAGAGACTCATTCAGATTTCTTGATGCTGTTTAATATTGTATTGAATAACATTGTGCCACAGATAGCTGCCTTCACTATGGCAACTGCTGCACTGTGAGACTTAAGCTACTGTACTCCGTTATGTGTGACCAGGGCTCTGGTGCAAGCTCTGCTAGATTGCGTGTTTAGCATTGGAACAAGAACTCTTCTCTCATTTCTTTGCTTGTTTGCACCCGTCACTTCTCTGTGCAGTATATTATACAAATACAATCTTCGTAAAGAAAATACCCTGAGAGCAGGGTACAGAGAGTTTCTCTTTTGTGCTGAGAGGTTGCTGATTTCCCCCTTGCAAACAGAAGCCAAAAGCTGCCATCGTCTATTTCTCTGATCCAGAATTATACACGTTTCAGTTGTTAGGATGCAACAAACACTCTTTAACTGAATAAATGAATGCCAGTGCAGAATCACAGTTGTTGCATCCCTGTTTTCATCACCCCCCCCCTCGCCCCGTGGAATCTCAGTCAGTTCCATCACACCCTTGTATACAGTTAACACTGCCCCTTCAAGGATCTAGTTATTTAATCAGAGGCCTCCTGGTGTCACCAGTGGAAGGGTCCTCCATCCTCCTTCCTTGGACTTGAGGCCCCATCAAAGAACAATCCTTTGAGCTCTTCCCTAACCAAGTGGACCTCTTGAAAAGATCTTACCAGATAGTAACATTGGGATGGGGCGTCCTTGAGGGTTTGCCTTTTGGGGACCTTCACCTTCCAGAAACACTTCTCCTAGGTCCCCTTTTCTAGTGGCCTCTCTAATCAGCTCACCTAAGAAGTGCCTCTCTTTACAAGCTTCTTCTCTATATTCCTCTTGACTGAGCTCTCAGAAGCCTGTATAGACCCAGGTGTTCCAAAACTAATTAACTGCTCCCCAGCCACCTAGGTAACTAGCTATTCACATGTGGATCTGGGTTGACTCATTCTCCTTAGGCAGCCTGCCAACGTTCCATATACTAATCTCCATGCTTTCATCACCCTTGTGTTTTATTAGGACTCATCTGTCTGTCTTCTTGACATTCTGATTGTTGAAAATGTGCACATATTCACTGCACAGTAAAAGGAAGTGAAGAGCAGGAATAAATGGCTAAATGTCATCATGGAGAGCGATTAAGTAAAGTTAGTTGTCATGGGATAAGAGGGAAGGTCCTTTCATGGATTGAGAACTGTTTAAAAGACAGGAAACAAAAGGTAGGAGTAAATGGTCAGTTTTCAGAAAGGAGAGAGGTAACTAGTGGTGTCCACAAGGGATCTGTTCTGGGATCAATCCTATTACACATATTTATAAATAATCTGAAGAAAGTGGTAAACAGTGAGGTGGCAAAATGTGCAGTTGCTCAAGATAGTTAAGACCAAAGCTGACTGTGAAGATCTTCAAAAGGATCTCACAAAACTAGGTAACTGGGCAACAAATTGACAAATGAATTTTAATGTTGCTAAATGCAAAGTAATGCACATTGGAAAAAATAATCCCAACTGTACATACTGCAGCAAAGTCTGGGCTAAGCCCCATGGGTCCTGCGCTTCCTGGCGGGTTTTTGTGTGCCTCAGAGGCTCAGGATGTCCCTAATACTGCCACAAAGGCAAGAGTACCTTTGTGGCAGTATTAGGGATACCACGAGCCTCTGAGGCACACAAAAACCCACCAGGAAGTACACAAAACCCCCGCTACCAGAGCTTTTAATCATTGGCCAGTCCAGTGTCCTTTTTCTACTTCCTACTGGCCCTTCCATCCAGAGCGGAGGGCTGGGGGGAACCCTGTCCCACCCACTTGCTCCAGGTTCCAGCCCAGGGCCCTGTGGGTGTGGGCAGCCCCGAGCAGGCCATGTAGCTTGGCCCTTGCCCCCTGAGCAGCAGCTCCTCCCTGGACCACTTCCTCAACCTTTCCTGCAGTACCTCCTCCTTGATGTCAGCTGTGTTCCCTTGCGCTGGGCTGCTCTCTTCTCCTCTAGTCCATCCCTTTTCTCCTTCCCCCTTAGCCTTGCCTAGGAGAGTGTTTTTGGAATGCCCGCATCCACCTTAAGTGGCTGCAGGTGTTCCAATTAGCCTTCCCTTCAGGCTGATGCCAAATAGGCTTCAGGTGTGGCTGGCTGGGCCACAGTCTTTAACAGCCTACTCAGGGAACATAAAACCACATACCCAGCTCCCCGGCTGTGTCTACACTGGCAAGTTATTCCGGAAAATCAGCCGCTTTTCCGGAAAAACTTGCCAGCTGTCTACACTGGTCGCTTGAATTTCCAAAAAAGCACTGATGATCTAATGTAAAATCATCAGTGCTTTTCCAGAAAAACTATGCTGCTCCCGTCTGGGCAAAAGTATTTTTCCGGAAAACTGTTCCAGAAAAGGGCCAGTGTAGACAGCACAGTAGTGTTTTCTGCAAAAAAGCCCCGATCGCGAAAATGACGATCGGGGCTTTTTTGCGGAAAAGCGCGTCTAGATTGGCCATGGACACTTTTCCTGAAAAAGTGCTTTTCCAGAAAAGCGTCCTGCCAATCTAGACGCGCTTTTCCGAAAATACTTTTAACAGAAAACTTTTCCGTTAAAAGCAATTCCGGAAAATCATGCCAGTGTAGACGTAGCCCCCATGTATTTGCCTTCCATGAGGCCTCGGTAGCTCCCTGTTCTCAGGCTGCCACAATACAAAATGATGGGGACTAATTTAGCTATTACCACTCGAGAGAGATCTTGGTGTCATTGTGGATATTCTCTGAAAACATCCAACCAATGTGCAGCAGCAGTAAAAAAAAAGCAAATAGAATGTTAAGAATAATTTTAAAAAGGGATAGAAAATTAAACAGAGAATATATTATTGCCTCTGTATAAATCCATGGTATGCCCACAGATGTGGTTGACTCATCTCAAAAAAGATAACTTGGCATTGGAAAAGGTTCAGAAAAGGGAAACAAACATGGTTAGGGGTTAAGAACTCTGCCGGGATGCGTGAGACCAGGGAGGAACGGAAGTAGGCCCCACAGTTGCAGAGCACCCCCTCATCCAGCATCCTCTTCCCGGTGTTATAGATAGCGGCTTTCACAGGAAGAGGAGGAGGTTGACGAGGAGGTCTCACAACTTTGCTGGGCCACGGATGAGGTGTGCATAAACAAACAGGTGAGGGGAAAAGTGAAGCCAGAACCTCAGCAAGAGGTTCTGAAGGAGCCGGAAAAGGGTCTGCAGCCTGGCGCACTCAAGGTATGTCAGATTCTCCCTCACGCTGCAGAATGGGCAGGTATTGGGGGTAGGGGTGTACCATGCCAGGTAAACACCCATGGTCAGGGCTCTGTGGATGAGGTCTGGGCTGAGGATGTCCCAGAACATGCAGTAGAATTCCACGTTCAGCCCATCCATGCCCGGGGTTTTATTGGTAGGCATGAGATGGAGGGCTTCCGGGAACTCAGCCAGAGTGAGAGGCATCTCCAGCCGGTCCCAGGCACCCATGCTGATTGACAGGAGTTCGGTCCATAACACTCTTTAGGAATTGGCATCAGTTGGATCTGGGGAGAATAAGCTGGCATAGAAGAGCCTTCCATACATGCCCTCTGGATCCATGACAGGGGTGCCGTCCTCTGCCAAGATGCAGGTGACGTGATGTTTGAGTGCCCTCTTTTTCTTCAGGGCATAGAAAAAGTGGGCGCTGCGATCCATCTCCCTAAGGAGACGAATGTGGGATCAAACAAATGCACCCTGGGCCTGGTGGGCCTCGAGGGCACAGAGCTCCTCCCATTTCTCCCAGTATGCCTTGCGGAGGGGTGGATCCTTGGGGTCAGATGCCAGGTGCCTCTTAAGATTCAAAACCTCCCACTTAGAGCTGGGTGTGCACCTTCCTCACATCCCACCGTCGCTTTACTGAGGGAAAGGTGGGATGCTGCCCCCTGCAGGCCAGCCAGGATTCCCAGAAGGACGCCATGAAGCCCACATCCTCCAGCTGGCCGTTGTTAAAGTGCCAATAGGCTGGCCCCAGCTCTCCACGCTACAAAAGGCCTTCATGGCCACCACATGGTGGTCTGTGAACAGGGCTGGCTGGACTCTGGAGGAGTGGAACCGTGCTAGATGGAAACACGATAAGTATATGTGGTCCAACCAGGAGTGGTACAACCGATCATCCTGCATCCAGACATAGGTGAGGTTGGTGGTATCGTTGGGGTAGTGGACATGCCAGACATCCACCAGGGAGAGATGGCCCACAATCTCTCTGCGGATGCCTGCCGCAGCCTGGCAGTGCTTGAATCCTGAGTGATTCCTGACCTCCAGGGTGGTGGTGAAGTCCCCACCCAGGACCAGGCTCTTGCAAGGATCCAGGGTGCTGAGGAAGGTGGCAGCCTGACAATAAAAGGTCACCCAGCCCAGGCCAGCATTTGGGATTTAGACATTGACCAGGTTCAATGTCAGCTCCTCCATGCAGGCCTGCACGTGCAGCAGGCGGCCTGGGACAATCTCAGCGGCCCCCAGCACCTTGGGTCATAGGCCAGGGGAGAACAGGGTGACCACCCCAGCTGCATGGGCACTGAGATGGCTAAAGTACACCCCGTCCCCCCACGTCAGTCACCAGCCAGCCTCAATGGGGGTCTCCTACAGGAAAACCAACGAGTACCCCCTCCCGAAGGAAGGAGAGACTCCAGCTCCTGCAGAGACCCGCTCTACAGCCCCAGGCATTTAGAGTAGAAAGGATGGAGTATTTCATAGTGAGGGCTGGGGTGGATCCTCATGGACAGAGTGATCTTCGGCCTCCCGCAGATTCCTCAACCGACCTCTTCCTGACCCGAAGGCAAGGAGATCATCACAGAATTTGTGGAGCCAGTGGTAGGCCATGATGTCCTGACTCTTGGTTCCTCTCCCCTCCTGCAAAAGGGCCCCTGTGACCTGCATAATGTGGCCATTCAGCATGGGCCATCGCCCCTTGGGGCTTGGCGGCCTTAGGCAGGGCACCTCTAGTGGCCAGGCTGATGGATAATATGAGGGGCGCCCCTAGGGTGAGAGCTGGGATGGCCACCTGGGATGAGGGGGAGGGAAAAAGAGGGGGAAGTGCATCTGAGTTGCTGTGCAGACTGAGGCCTGCTGACAATAGGTCGTCCTCCCCCTGAGCTACCCAGGGCCCTGATCTCCTCGAAGATGGAGCTAAAGTACATCCCATGGCTCCAGAGTCCTCCCCACTGGCCAATGATGCAACAGTTTCGTCAGTGGTAATGATGGGAGCACAGATGGTAGGGAGACCGGGAGAGCTCCATCCAAGGCCTCCTTGGGGTTGGACTCCATGAGGGGGACAATACCGTCCCCCTCTGCTGTCAAGATGTCCTCAGCCAGTGCCTCCTGCTGTCACTCATTGTGGGAGATGTCAGCAGTGGTGATCCCCCTCAAGTATTTTGTGAGGGTCTTCCTACCTTCCTCGTCAGAGGTGGAGGTGGAGGGCAGGCTAGCAGGGGCAGGGCCAGGGGGTATAGATGGTACTCGGGTGGGATCTGGGAGGCAAGGGAAGAACAATCGTGGGCAGAGCAACCTCCCCCTGGAATGAGCCTTGTCTGTTGCTCGGTGGCAACTGCGCTGCCCTCTTCCCTGTGGCCCCGCTGAATCAGGATGGGTAAGGGTGGGGGCCTGCCTGCTAGCCAGGGAGCACTGCCTGGCACCTGAGCAGAGCTGTTAGGAGGAGCAGGAGGGGTAGCTGTGGAGGCCGGACTACCAGGGGGACCATCAGTTTTGGAGCTGACACCCTCCCAGACCCCTAGGGTCCCGTACACCTCCTTGGACTGGGCCAGGGGACAGTCCCTCCACATGCCCCATTGCCCAGCAGAGGAAGCACTGGCTTTCCCTGGAGGAATAGTGGACCTGGTGTAGGGCACCAAGAAGGACCCCTAGAGTGCCATCCCATCATGCACCGCCAGCAACATTTGCAGCTACACCTGCCAGTGGAATGACAAAATGTGACAGAGGGTGGGGTCCTCACATCCCAATGAAAGGAGGCTTCTCCTGGGTTTCTCCAGGGTGGAGAGGGCAGGCAACACGGTAGCATTGGGAAGGAAGGGTGGGACAGAGGCGAGGACCACCTGTATGTCCAGGTCTTCCAGTGGCTCGAGGTGCACGTGTGTGCCCCTGACTGCCAGGCCTTCTCCACTGCCTTTTGGGTGGCAGTCTCTGAGGCAAGGAAGAACATCAGCTTGTCAGACATTTTGGAGGCTGCCACCATTGCCGAGGACCCACCACCCTTGCCAGTGCCCACACGTATGTTTCGATGTGGGTCGAGGCAGGGCCCAGGAGGCAGGTTTGGGGAAGGGGCCTCAGACACCAGGGATGGAGCTGGAGGCAGTGGTCGGGCAGAGGACGTGCACAGGGGCAGTGGTGGTGGCCACCTGGGCATACGCTCTAGGCACCCCCCGCCCAGAGCTGGTGGGTGGAACAGCAGGGGAGGAGGGGTCATGGCAGACGGTGGGGACATAGTGTGCAGGGTGGCCTCGGCTGTGGGGGTTTTGGCCTTCAGAGTTGGGGGGATCATCATCCATGGCGGAGGTGGAGTACAGACCGGGGGTTGGGATGTCAGCCGTGCTGTCTTTGGGCCTGGTGGCAAGTGGGGGACCCTGGGGTCAGCGGGGATGGGGAAAGGACAGGGACTACCTCCATCATGAGGGGAGGGGTTGGGGGAGACACGGAGAGCAGGCAAGGGCAGGGGGGGCAAGGGTCAACCACTCTCCCCACCAAGCAGCAGGCAGGGGAGGAGGGCACGTAAGGGGGGGTGGCAACAGAGGGAAAGGAAGCAGCAAGCGCTCCTCCCTGCAGAGCTAGGAGCAGAGAAAGAGAGCACTAAAGAGAGGGACAGGCACACGGGGGAGGGAGGGACGACCAGGAAGATGGGGAAAGTAACCACTCCCTCCCACTGGCTTGTGTGCAGGGTAACCATGGAAAGGGGGCACAGCAACCACTGCTTCTGCTACACTTGAGGCTGGAAAGGAGGGTACTGAGTAGAAACGACTCCTCCCTGCAAAGCTGGAGGCAGAGGTGGAGGGCGCCAAGGAGAGGGCAGGACTGCAGTGGGGAGGATGCTGCTTGGGAGAAGGGGAAAGTTACCACTCCTTCCAACTGTGTTGTATGCAGGGAGGAAGGATGCCAGTAAAGAAAGGTGAAACAAATGCAGGACTATGTAGCACTTTAAAGACTAACAAGATGGTTTATTAGGTGATGAGCTTTCGTGGGCCAGACCCACTTCCTCAGATCAAATAGTGGAAGAAAATAGTCACAACCACAGATACCAAAGGATACAATTAAAAAAAATGAACAAATATGAAAAGGACAAATCACATTGCAGAACAGAAGGGGAGGTAAATGTCTGTGAGCTAATGATATTAGAGGTGATAATTGGGGAAGCTATCTTTGTAATGGGTAAGATAATTAGAGTCTTTGTTAAGACCCCGGCGTAAAGTGTCGAATTTTAGCATGAATGACAGTTCAGAGGATTCCCTTTCAAGTGCAGTTTTAAAAGGCTTTTGAAGCAGGATGCAGGTAATTAAGTCGTTGAGACAATGTCCTTTCTGGTTGAAATGGCAAGAAATTGTTTTCTCTTTGTGATCCTGTCTGATGTCTGGTTTGTGGGCATTGATCCTTTGGCGAAGTGTCTGAGATGTTTGTCCAATGTACATAGCAGACGGACACTTTCGGCACGATAGCATAGATTATATTTCTGGATGCGCAGGAATATGTGTTCTTGATCTTAGAACTCACTTGGTTAGGTCCAATAATGGTGTCAGCAGAGTGAATGAGGGCACTAGTGGGGTAGGACAATGGACAAGGTTGCGGGTACAGGGCCGGGGTGCCAGCTCCACTGGCACACAGGAGGTCTATGGCAACATCAAGGGGGGATACAGTAATGGGGAGGGCACTAACTAAGGAGGGAGGGGACCAGAGCACACTGGCAGTAGGCAGGGGGCTAATGGGAGGCTGGGGGAAGGGAGCAAACAGGAGCAGTAGGAGGATGGGGCTGGGGAGCAATGGGGAGGGCAACTGCTGAGATGGCAGGGCAGGCACCACAGCAAACTAACCAGGGATGGGGGAGGGGCAGACCAGAGGACTGCATGGAGATCGGGTGGGGCAGGCAAGCAGACAGTCTCAGGGAGGACTGTGGCAGGGATGGAAGGAGAAACAAACTGGGCTACTAGGGTGGGGCAGGCAGCAGAGGGCAAGCTGTTGTGGTGGTGGAGCAAGGGGGCAAA